GTAAATCATTCACCTTGCCACCCCTTGCTCTGTTCCTCTCATGCACCACCTTGCCCTTCCTCTTTGAGTTCCAGGGGGCACAGGTGCTCACAAAAGGAAGGATGCCGGCTTGAGTTCTGTCCAGAGCTGCAGCTGGAACCCAGGGCTCCTGATTGTCACTGAAAATACAGTTTCCCAGGATGGGGAAGGGGCTCTCAAGGCCCCACCCCTGGCCAAGGAGCTTTTGGCACTGGATGGCTACAGGGGAAAGGAGAGTCATTTTTCTTTGGCGTGGCCACTGGTAGGTGGCCCATGCTCCAGCAGATAGCCCCACCTTCATGCGCTTACAAACAGCACTAAGTGGATTCTGGGTTAGAGGGGAAGGAAGATGAAGAGGGCGGGAGGGGGTAGCAGATGAAGTTGGGAAGGAGAAGGCGCCTCCTAGGGGAGCTACAGGAAGGCATAGTGGTGGATAAGATCAAAATCCATTATATACATGTGTGAAATTCTCAAAGAATAAAGCCAGGCAGTGGAGGCACACGCCTTTAATCCTACCACTCAGGAGGCAGAGGCGGGCAAATCTCTGCGTGTTCAAGGCCAGCCTGGTCTACAAGAGCTAGTTCCAGGACAGGCTCCAAAGCTACAGAGAAACCCTGTCTCGAAAAAACAAAACAAAACAAAAAAAAGAATAAATAAAACTACTTAAAAATAGAGTTGAGGGGCTGGGAGTGTAGCTCCCTAGAGTGCTTGCTGTCTTAGCGTGCACAAGACCCTGGGTTCGTTCTCAGGACGTATAAACCAGGTGCTGTGGCACACCTGTAATCCAGGTACTTGGAGATGGGGACAGGAGGACCAGACATCTAAAGTTATCCTCAGCTGCATAGTGGTCCAAGGCTAGCTCGAGACCCTATCTTTAAAGTAAATACATAAAATAAAAATAAAATATAAAACCAGGTCTGGTGAAGCAGGCCTGTATCCCCACTCACAATAGGCCGAGATAAGGGAGTTTATAACTTCAAAAATTGCTTGGGCTACAAAGTGAATTCTGGGTTCACCTAGGAAACTCTATCTCAAAGTTTAAAAAGCTCAAAAAGGACTGGGGGGATATATCCTCATGGTCAGATGCTTGTCTACTGCGGATGAGACCCTGAAGTCAACCTCCACTGACGTGCACACACACACACACACACACACACACACACACACACACACACACACAAAAACACACAAACACACAAACCCATAGATAATGCAATGGATCCAATCACAGTGAAACTTGAAGCCTCTAAAATCACTCTTGTCCCTATGTCTCTCCACCTCCAGCCGCCTTCCTGAAGGAGGTAGCTCCTGTTGTTGGCTTCTTGTACATATTTTTAGGAAAAAAAATTACTAAACGTACTATAAAATGGTATGCTACCTAAAGTTCACAAATGTCTAATTTCTATGTATTTGTGTGTGTGACTGTGTGTGTGTGTGTTCACAAACAGCTGTGTTCACCTGTACCTTTGGGTATCTGTCTCCTAGTGCCCTCCACCTTAGTTTCTGAGACAGGGTTGCTCACTGAAGCCAGAGCTGACCATTTCAGCTAGACTGACTGGCCAGGGAGCCCCAGGGATTCACTTGTCTCCACCCTCCACCCCCAGAAGAGGGATTACAGGTGAGGGACCACCATAACTGACTTTTACATGGGTTCTGGGGATCTGAACTCAGGTCCCATACCTGTGTAGCTATCAGTTTCCCCACTGAGGCGTCTCCCCAGGCTGGTAGCAGGCTGTTCTAGTAACCTGCGTCTTGCGCCCTCATACATGTCTAGTTGCTCAGTGCTCCTCTCCGTGGGGGCTCACCAGCTCCCTGATCTTAGGCATGGGTATTGTGTTTAGTCTTGTGCTATTAGCAACAATCACTGCCATGGGCAGTTCTCTGTGAGGTCGTTTCCTGGGAGTAGAGCTTATGGCCAAGGCTCTGTGCATGTAAAATCAGGCTACGTGATGCTTAGCTGGCTCCTAGGAGGGTGCTCCAGCTAGTGCTCACTCTGGACAATAGATCGGAGTCCCTGGTTTCTGGGCCCTACAGGGGATCGAACATTTTGCTCATGGTTGAATGTTTTCTTAGCAATCAATCTGTGCGCTTTAAGCAGCTGGGCTAGATAGAAGCTGGCCAGTAGGTTCCTAATTCTATCAACTCCTCTCCAGGGCTATGGACTAGGGCTCCACTGACCCCGGTGGGGGCAGAGGTGCTGCAGTGAAGCCAACACCCTAATCTGGAGATCTTGGTTCCTGTTATTACCAGGCTGACGGCCTCAGAGAGAGTAGTTTCTGTGCCCTGCTCCCAGCTGTAAATGACTGTTGTGGGTCCCTACTGTTCAGCACAAGGGGACAGAGGCAGGGAGCCGGGAGAGACAGAGAGAGGGCGAGCAAGCTAGGTACTAAAAGAGCAGCTGCCTTCATGACTGAGCTCTTGCAAGCAAAGCCCCCTCTGCTGCTCAGCTTATCCTTTGGGAGACCATGAGGAGTCTTCCTGGCACCCAGCCTGAGGCCATGAATCCCAGCCAACCCAGACTTTCTGGTCTACTGTTGCTATGCATGATCTGACCCTTTATTCCAGGGAGTGGACATAGAGGCGTGGTCTGCTCTGTAGCTTCTATTGCCTACACAGGACATTGGGCAGCTCAGTGGTACCTAAAAATGGTGAGATGGGGAGCTATGCATTGGGGGCAACTCTAGGCTGAGGGCCTGGCATTGGCACATGTGTGCCCGCTTGTCCTCTTGTGGCCCTGATTCTGCAGGGAGGTTGGACTAGATCTAGCAGGAGTACCCAACCGTTTGACATTATTCCATTCCGTAGTAATCTAAGGATGTGTAGGGCAGCGTCCATTGCTGTCGTGGGACACTTGGGGCCCACAGCTGCAATTGGACACTCCTGGAAGAACTCACCAGCCTCTTATTTAGACCTCCAGCAGCCTCATGACTTCTTAAACCATGGTCTCTTCATCTGAATCTGGCAGGGGACCAAAATCCCAGGACTCCTTCTGACACTAGCTAGTGACCCCAGTAGTGGGCTGTGGGTTCAGAGCCCAGCTAAGCTGTGGTGGTAGCAGCCTCAGGCAGAGCTGTTTCTGAGCCAAGAGTGACTTTTCTAGGTCAAGGAGGAGCCTCATCTGAAGCCAAGGCCTTAGCAGCCTCTCCCTCAGCCCCTCCTCTCACCATGCCTGGCATGGGCTATGTCTCTGTTGTCAGGTGGTACTGTGAGCTTGGTACATGTGGAAGTGGCCAGTGTGGCTCTGCCACTCTGGCAGAAAACCCAGGGAGAAGCTGCCTAGGAACAGCTGTTGTCTCCCATTCACTTGGCTGGAGAAGAGCCCAAGTCTGTCCTGCCAAGTCGTGTGGGATGGATGGGTGGAGGTGGGCCAGATGTAGGTCTTTAGTGCAGGGGCATAGGGGGACAGGCATAGCCAAGGCACAGAGTGGGGAGGCAAAGGCCAGGCTGTTTGTGGGTGTGTGGGTGGCAGGGAGGTCCAGGGTTATCCCAGGATCGGTCGTGCCCTGGTGTGTGCATGCCCGCTGTCGGTGTGCACCTTCTAGTTCAGCCATGTGTTCAGGTTCTTACAGAGAAAGCTGGTGTTCATCCAGGCCCCATACAGTAATATTCTCCGCAGACAGCCTTCCACACTCAGCTCCAAAGGCAGCCCTGATATTAATAACCTCAGGCAACCCTTAAGTCCAGCTCCTGGCCCAGGCTGCACTATCTGGAAACCAAGCCTCCACCCTCTTTTCCTGAGACATGGCAGTCCTTCCTGCACCTCCTCCTTATTCCTGACCCTAATCTCCTCTCCACACAGCAGCCAGAAAAACATGAAAGCCTGCAGCGGACGGCATGTCCTCTCTGCTTAGAACTTTGCAGTGGCTCCCATTCCAGGCAGAGTAAAACCTAAGCCCTTTCCCTTGACATCTGCCCCATCCCCTCTGCGCCTCGCACCCTTGTCCCGCCAGCTTCCTCACTCATCCTCAGACATGCCCCCACCTCAAGGCCTCTGCATTCTCTTTCGCTCCACCGGATTCTGTTTCTCTAGATAGCCCGCTCGCTCTTTCTCTCTCGGTTCAGCTTCAAGAGCCATGGTATTGAATGTTTGACTTTTTCTTTTCTTTTCTTTTTTGAAACAGGGGTCCCACTGTGTTACCCAGGCTGGTCTTGAACCACTGGGTTCAAGTGACCCAACCGAGTTGCTGGGACTATAGGTGGCACTGCCACCTTCCTCAGCCAGCACCACTCTGTTTGAAATTCCCACAGCTTCCCACCACCAAATTCTTAGGCTCCCTGTCTTCTTTTTTTCCCTCAAAATAATTGCCAGTGAACAATGCCAATGTTTTCCATTTTTATTTACTTTTTGTCTGCCTCCTTCCCCTAGCATCCAAGCAGGGACTTCTCATTTTTTTTCCCTGCCCACCGCAGTGTGTGGCTTGAGGCAGGGACTTGGTTTGTCTAGTGGAAGGAGCTGAGTCATTGCTCTGTGCCTGGACATGGGAGGGAGTGTGGACAGCTCGGGTAGATCAGCCCCTGGCCCCTGGTGCAACCCTAGAGCCAGGCCTGGTGTCCTGAATGTCCTGGGTACCCAACAGACCCTGGGGTCCACCAACAGCCCCTGGCCTTTCAGTCTTTGGGTTAGCACTCAGTAGAACTGGGGAACCCCCCAAGCTAGGGTACTTCTGAGTCCTGTTTATCCTTCACCATGGTGACTTCCCTGCACAGGGCGGGTGGGGGAGCATCTGGCAACCCCCTTAGCCCCAGTCTACCCTCACCAGTCAGGTGCCCCCTTTATAACACTGCTGTTCAGACTCACACCATGGGGACCCTTGAGTCAAAACCATCTGGAGAGTTTGTTCCCACAGCACTGAGCCCTCTGAGTAAACAGATCTGACACAGCTAGCCAAGTCTTCGCTGTCAGCTGCCTGCCTGGGGGCCTCCTGGACTTTTTGGATGCTCCATTGCACTCACCCTCCCTCACTGCCCCTTCTGCTCCCCAGGTAAGACTCGGACCAAGGACAAATACCGAGTGGTTTACACAGACCACCAGCGCCTGGAGTTGGAAAAGGAGTTCCACTACAGCCGGTACATCACCATCCGGCGCAAGTCCGAGTTGGCTGCTAACTTGGGGCTCACAGAGCGGCAGGTATGTAGGTCCTCCGCCTCAGCTCAAGGAACAGGGCCCAGAGTCGGGCTTTCAGGATGTCATGAAGATACAGGGCTCACAAAAAGAGGACAGAGAGATTGTCTCCCCGACTTCTGGCACAGTACTACATAGTGCATGCTGCCATACTGCTAATAAAGCCCAACATTGCTACACGTGTGTATGTGTGTGCACATACATACACACACATATACACACACACAGGCTACAATGACTACAATTAGTGCTATTCAGTGCTCTTCAGACCTAGACAAAGGGTGATCACAGGACACAGGGACTCTGGAGTGGGGGCCTTGGAAGGGGAAGACTGACTGAGGTTACAGAGAACGGTGTCCAGGGCACAGGAGAATGTATATCAGTGCCTGAGGTCTGGTGGCTACAGAAGGAAGTGGACCATGAAGACCACCTACCCTGATCCAGCTCCCTCTAACCCCTGCTCCATAAAAAGTCTGTGCAATCCCACAGGTAAAAATCTGGTTCCAGAACCGCCGAGCCAAGGAGCGCAAAGTGAACAAGAAGAAACAGCAGCAGCAGCAACCACTGCCTCCCTCGCAGCTGCCTCTGCCCCTGGATGACAACCCCACACCATCAGGGCCACCCCTGGGTAGTCTATGCCCCACCAATGCTGGCCTTCTGGGTACCCCCTCCCCAGTGCCTGTCAAGGAGGAATTTCTACCCTAGACCCTTCCAGCCTGGGGCCCAGGGATCTAGGGACTCAAATGCTGGGCACCTGGCTTTGCTGGAGCCCAAGAAGCCTGTTCTGTTCTGGGTCAGCCTGTTGCTGACCTTTGGGGTCACTATGGACAAATTGCCTACCTAGGACAAGTCACTTGCCAACTCCCTGCCTCCCTTGGCTGGGTTATGTGATGAGCCTTTTGGACAAGGGCCTCTTCCAGCTCCTGTGTCCTAAGCCATGGGGTGATGGGGATCCACACTGAGAGGTCTCAGTCACCTGGAGCTATCTCAAGATCCAGAGGGCTCAACAAGCTGTCCAGACAAGACTGAGGCTCCACCTCCTCCTCCCAAGAGGTTGCTGCGTGGAGCAGACTGGCCCTGGAGAGGATGGGTCAGTGTTGAGAGAAGGGACACACATGGGTCTAGACTCACATGTGAAGTGTAAGGTTGATGTCGGTCCCACCTGTCTCCTCCTGCAACCTCACCTCCACCTGCCCTCGTACCCCACGCTCTATTCCTCCCCAGCCTGGAGGTGCTCTTAAAGCTACCAGGACTGGGCCCCAGGTAAAGGCTGGGCAATTGGTCCCTGCTCTTGAGACAGAACTTGTCCCCTCCCTAGCACCCCAGGAAGGCCTATGGATGAAAGGGAAGCCTCTCAGGGTAGACTTAGAGTCTACCACCTGCCCATGCCCACCTCCCCATAGACTGTCCATCACACTCAGGGAGGCCCCGGGCCATGGGGAATTTACAACTGGTCAGGGATTAGGGAGAGCAGAATCTCTTGAATGCAGGTTCAGAAATAAGTTTTTCCCTTTTAAACAATTTATAAAAATCATACATAGCATTAAAGGAATTTTATAAAAAGGTTTCTTCACCGTCATCCTTTCCTCATGATTGTGTTTCCTTCCCATTCTGTAGTTTCCCAACAAAGTCATCTTTAAAACATGACTGATTGCTAGGCGGTAGTGGTGCACGCCTTTAATCCCAGCTCTCAGGAGACAGAGGCAGGAGGATGTCTGTGAGTTCGAGGCCAACCTGGTCTACAGAGCAAGCTCCAGGACAGGCTCTAGAGAAACCCTGTCTCCAAAAAACAAAACAAAAAACCATGACCGATCAAACAGGACCCTGCCAAGGCAGATCTCAGGCTGAAGGAACGCCAGTCTTTAGGTGAGCGCTTTTCAGTTCAGCTATTCTTTCAACACTGTTGAAAAACATTGTGAAAAAGTTCACACTGCACTCTGCGCACCAGGCCTGGCGGGAAGGGCATAGCCCTTTCCCCAAGAGGTACCTGGCCCAGTGGGAAGAGTGCCACACGCATAGTGGTGCTAATATAAAGAGATAAGGGCCAGTCAGAACTTTGCTCTGGACACAGCAGGAACCAGTGCTGGGGGGGGGGGGAGGAATGCAGATGGGCTCCGTGTGCATCCAGAGGCCTAGGAGGCTTCCTGGGGAAGGCAGTGCTGAGCTAAGACCCTGTGTGATGGTCGGGTCCAGAAGGGTAGGAGGAACAGTGCAATGGGAACGTAGAGTGTCCTTAAGCTTCTGGGAAGGGACTCTATCCTCACCTTCTTCCCAGAGGTGGGCAGAAGTCACCTACCTAGGACCTTCTCTGCCTGGAGGGTTCTGGTGCCAGCTGCTTGCCCCTCTGTTTACTGTTCTGGGAGGTGGCTAAGTCATAAAAAGTGTGTGCAGCCTGCCTGCCTTCGCCCTTTGCTCCTGGGCCTGGGATAACAGTGCACAGGTGTTCCCAGCCCCAGCACACCAGCCTCTTCTCTCTCCTGCCATCCACTGGGGAGACAACAGGGCCTCCCTGTAGCAGTTGACATCTGAACCGCAGAAATCAGGTGGCACCAGAAGAATGGAGTGGGAAGAGACTGGTAGGGGGCTGTGAGTTTAGCTTTCAGATCCACACGACCATTGGGTAACTACTTCCCCTCTCTGGGCCCCCATTTCCTGCTCCAGTCCAGTTGTTTTGGGTATACATGGAATTTTGCAGCAAACGCTTTTCCTCAAAACCTGTTGAGCCTTTTTACTGGCCAGGCTGACCTCAGACTCACCCTATAGTCTAGCCTGGCTGTGAACAAAGATTGATCCTCATACCTCAGTCTCCAGAATGCTGGGATTACAATGATCCTCAGGCTTCAAACCCAGGAAACTGATACGAGTACCTGTGACCATCCCCGCCCCCCCTCCCCCACCAACATACAAGGGAGTTCTGGAAGCTTCATGGCTGAAGGGCCATAACCTCCCCATGGCTGACTGGAGCATCGGGTTTTGGAGTTAAGTGTGACAGTTGAGTGTAACACACTGGGTTCCAGTGTGACAGCCTCTAGGTTAGAAGACTTGGAAGCTAAGATGTGCTTAGCCTCTCTGGGTCTCCTCGTCTGTCAAAGGGAGCTAACGCAGCTATTCTTGGGACCGAGGAGTACAGACTTAGCATATGCTTTGCACCCCACTTGAGACGCTTGCGTGTCTGGCTGCAGTCCCAACCACGATAGCCCTGAGGTCAGTTGGTGTCATGAGCTGATGAGGCCCTGGCTCTAGAAGACCTCTGCCCAGCAGGCAGTGGTCACTCACGTGGAAGCTTGGAAGGTTGGATGGTGATTACCTACCCCTTGGTATTTAAACTCCATGAGGAAGAGATGTGGCCTGTATATGTTTACATGCATGCTATGGTCTTCCTCTCACCTAAAAGCATTCCATTGGAGGACTGGGGATATAGCTTAGGTGGTAGAGATGCATGAAGCCCTGGGTTCAACCCCCAGGACTGTGGGTCTGATGGCACATGCCTGTAATCCCAGCACTTGAATGGTGGAGGCAGGAAGATAAAGAATTCAAGGTCATCCTTGGCTGCGTAGGAAGTTCAAGATCAGCCTGGAGAACCTGACACCCTGTCCAGAAAAAACATAAGTTCCAGGAGAGGTTGAGGGGTGTAGCTGTGACTAAGGGAAGAACCCTCCTCAGGTTGCGTCAGACCCTGCAGCCACCCCAGAGATGGAGGTGTCCCAGCTATCCTCTAGGGACAGCAGGTGCTGTTTTGTACAGGGGAGCTGTACATGCCTTTCTGCTGGGTGACAGTCCCGAGCTGCTGCTGGGGACATAGAATCCAATAGTAGACCTGGCTTGGGCTGGTCCTCTAAGGCACGAAACTTGGTCAAGAGCGCTAGCAAATGAGACAGTTGTGAGCTTCCATATGGGTGCTGGGAATTGAACCCGGGTCCTCTGGAAGAGCAGCCAATGCTCTTAACCTCTGAGCCATCTCTCCAGCCCGGGCGCTAGCAAATGAACAGAGCACAGCAGCACTGTTTTGTATATAGTTTCCTTGGAGCCATAGAACCTGAGCTCCACACTGAGAACCCTTGTCCTGCGGAAGAACTAAGTCACTGTCAATTGCCAAAAGTATGATGTGGGCTATGAGGCCCCAGGAATGTTCCAGAGCCTCCAGGTTGGAAGCTTTGGAAGAGGTGGGTTCCAGCACCTGAGGGGTTATGCGTGCATGACAGCAGAAACTTGGAGGAGGTCTTCACTATCTGAGAAAAACAGCCTGGCCTGCGATGGGGAGACACAGACGGGCAGCCCACCAGAGCGGCCCTAGAGAGCAGTCCTGGCCGGCTGGTCAGCCGGGTTCTTCTAGAAGGGCATCCTCCTCTCTACACCAGATGGACTGGCAGTCTGGAGCCTCGTTTTTCACAGTCCCCACTCTTCGCATAGCAAAACACATGCTCTACGGTGACAAAATCCGAACGTTTAAGCAAATTAAAAATGTTTATTTATATGCACTTAAAAATATCTCCCTATATAATAAAGGAAGTACATTTCCATCTAACACTTTCCTTAAATCAGCATACATCTCCATTTCACTTCTGGCTTGTGGTGAGACCAGGAGACATGCCTGGAGAAGGAAAGGGAGGGGCGGGGATCAGAGGGCAAAGGAAGAGCATTTAAGGGGTGTTAGCATCCAAGCCCCTCAGGATGGGGGACAGGGAATAGTCAAGCATGTCTGGTCACTGAACCCTTGCTTATTGCGTGATTGCAAAGTTGGGGTTTCAGGGGCGGGGGGTAGAATGACTGATGCGGGCAGCATCTGTCAGAAAACCTTAGTGTTTTGCTTTTTTCACACCCAAGGCCAGTGACAGGAAGATGGTGACAGAGAGGTGATCAGGAAGTCTTGCCTGCATGGGCTCACATTCAGTGTTCCAGGTGTGGCTCTGCCCTACCCTAAGTGATTTTTGCCAGTCCTGCCCTCTCTGGGCCCCAGTTTCCCCATCTGGAAAGTATTGGTGCAGCCCACCTGCACCCCATGCCTTCAGTGACTATCGCCAAAGCTCAGTGGTCATCATACTTGCTCAAGGAAGGCTAAGTTTCAGTCTGGCCCCTGACTTCCAACCAGGTGCTGCTGTGCAGGGGCCAGAAAGAGGCCAGTATTCTGGGATCCAAAGTCAATGGCCTCACCCTAGCCCTTGTCCTGAGGTTCTCTGGACCTTCCAAAGGCCTGACAGTTTCCAGTAGCTAAGGGAGAGTAGGAGGAGGCGGAATCTGCATTAGTCTCCTTCCTGAGCCCCAGGCCTCTGGTCCTCCCCAGACAGGGCCAGAGTTACTCCAGGCTTATTCCCAAATCCCAGAGATTCTCTGAGGTCTTGGGCACATGATATCATTCCTCTGAGCAAGTTTCCTCATGTATAAAATTTATTCCACACATACCTGCTTTCTGGGGCTGTTGGGAAGAATTAATAATTGAATACTAGACATGAACGTCCATCATAATACAGCAGGGCTCAGGAAATGCCCTCTGCCCATCTTGGCCTCCTGAGGTTCCTAGGGGCAGAAGCAGCTGGAGGAAGCTCCTTCCTCCTAAATCAGGGAAGCCTTGACTGGTTAGACTCTAGTAGGCATAGCTCAGATGTTGGGAAAGCGAGGTGGGCCCCCCACCCAGCTCAGGAACTCTGGAGCATTCTCCTCTTCTCAAACCCCAGAGGTCAGAGCAGACCTATCCTGCCATCTCCTGAAGTCCTCCCCTGTTGGAGACAGCAAACATGGGAATGGCGAATGTCTGAAGGGGGCACCTTTAGCGGCCAGGGATTTGCCACGTCTGGTTTCTCCTAGTGCACTGATTGCTCAGATACCCCGGCTCTTATTTCCCCATCCTAGCAAGGCTCACAAGATGCCCAGGCGCCCAGAGAGCTCAGCCAGATATCTGCTGGCTGATGGACCTAGTCACAGATGAAACACGTGGCCCTGGGGCCATAGTGCTGGTAGACAGGAACTTGGTTTATCATTACATCACACGCCAGCACAACATGGTGAGATCTACCTGTCCTTTTCCTCCCCCAAACCTCCCAAGTGCACTTTCATCCCACGAAGAGGAGTGGTGCTGAGGGCCGCTATGTCTACGGGAAGTCTATGAAGCCTGCCTCTGTCGTTGATGTCATACACTGTGTGGCCTGGAGTAACTAATTTACCTGTCCTTTAATTCCCTCACCTGTGAAATAGAAGAACTAAAACCGGCCTCTCTTGGTTGAGAAAACGAGATGAGGCTAGGATCATTTTAAGGTACTGAATCATTTTAAGCTACTGATAGACTACTGGAAGCAACAGTCAGTCAGTAACAAGCAGCTTTAGTTGCGAGCCTACTGTGTGGCAGCTCCATGCTGGTTGTTTTGTTTGGCCTCCCTGAGTTCCTTACAGCCTCGTAAAGTGTAAAGTAAGAAACTTAAGGTCATCAGCAAAGAAGATAGAGTGTGCTAGGACTCCATACATGAATATTAGTGTTCAGTGTTCAGGAGCACTCTGCCTGCGTCTCTGCTCGCCCAACTAATGAAAAAGAGGCCCGGAGAAGGCAGTCACTTGCCCAAGGTCACGCAGGAGACTGTAGCTGCTGCCGATGGTTTCTGTCACGCACCCCCCTCCCCACCCGCTCTGGCCGCTCCAATCCGCATCTCTGCGTGCGGGGGCGCGCGCATCCCCCCGCCGCCGTCTGTCCGTCATCGGATCTGTCTGGGTGTCTCCCCGGCGTAGGGCGCTGAGCAGAGAGTCAGGGCGTTCGCAGCGCCCCACGCCCGCAGCGACCTCACGGCAGCGCCTGCGCCCTCCTCAGCCGGTGCGCGGGAGCCGCGGGGGGCAAAGGCGCAGCGGTAGGACCAGCGCTCCGCCCGCCTCGCTGGCTCTCTGCGCTCCAGCAAGCACCAGCGCCAGTTCTCCAAAATGAAGAAGCTCCAGGGAGCTCACCTCCGCAAGGTAGGGCAAGAGGGCGGAGCGCACCTGCCTGAGGCTGGGAGGATCGACGGGCCAAAGAGATGCCACCCCCCCCCCCCCACCGCAAGGCTTGAGAACCTCCTCCCAAGATGGATTACCGGGAGGGGCGGGGTCACGATCTCCCCTGGTGGGTCGCGGTGTAGAGCTAGGGTCCAGATTCACTGTGCTCCATCTGCAAACAGGTGTCTGCAGCCCCAGGGGGCTCGGATGGGTGGCTGGGGTCAGGTACCGCCCTCTCTTCCAGTTCTCCATCTGTTCAGGGCCTGACAAGGTGGGGGCGTTAGGTGCTACAGAGCTCTTCTGGGGTAGTATCCCGCCCTGGCCTCTCCTGGACACGCTGTGTATACCCAAGGGCCTCTGTCAGCTTCCAGCACACCCACTTCAGTCCTAAGGACTCGGGCCGGGTCCCTCTGCCGCCTCCCTTGTCCGTTTTCACTGCAGCCTTCCCTTTCCTGCTGAGACGACCTCTCGCCTGCGGAGACCCCAGGCAGTCCGTGATCGGGATTCAAGGGAGGCAAGGGTTGGATCTGGGCACCTAAAATTAGGAGGTAGGGTAGCGGGAGAGATGTCAGGCAGACCTCGATCTCTCCACTTTGCCATGCTGGACCTCCCAGTTGTTTGTGGGGGAGGGGGACTACTGAGGTAAGTTTTCTGGCGACTAGCTTTAAAGAGTCAGTCCTAGACAGGGTAAGAGAACTCCTGAGTACCGCTTCGGAAGATGCCACTAGGTGGTGACTGGTCAGGTTCATTCTCCAGCCCAGTCATCTCTGGTGTGGAGAAAACAACCCCTCACCCACTGGGTTGTGTGAGATGTGGAGATGCTATAAACGGGAAGGGGCCGCTACAACGGAAAAGACTTCACCTGGGTTGGCTGCTGTTATCACAGCACACACACACGCGCACACACACATGCACACACACACACACACACACACCTTCATTCACGATTTCTGTCCTTATGCTCTCAGGCCTGGGAACACTGGGATAGTTGGGTCATTTCCATTGGCTGACAGGAGTCACTTCTTAAAGCCGTTCGTGGTCTTGGATCATACTGGTTCTTGTCTCCACCCCCCGCAGGGTTCTCTCTCTCTCTTCTTTGCTCTTCCTTCCCACTAGAACCTCTTCCCCTCTCTGTCACAGCCACACGTGATAGGAAGCTCTTGCTGAGTGCCCCATAGGAGCTTCTCCAGCCTCTTCTCCTTGAGCCACGCACTAGACTCCACTAGCCCATTTTATAGATGGAGCAGCTGAGGCACAGAAGGAAGTGCTTCACGACTTACCTGGAAGTAGAAGCTACCTAGACCAAGCAGAACAGAGCTGACCCCCCCCAACGATGACTCAGAGAGAAGAGGGCATTTGTGGGCACTGCCAAGGGTCAGCAGAGTAGCAGCTGGCTGGGCTGGGGTGGGGATCTGGTCTTAGGAGAGCTCTGCCCTTGACTTGCCATTTGACCTTGGGCCCCTCCCTTTCCTTTCTGGAACTCTGATTCTGCTTTCTGCAGTGAAGTGGGATTCCCGGGTGCCTTTTGTTTTTCCAAGACGGTAGAAGACCCCCCCACCCCGGGCTTGGCAGTACTCCCTCTCCTAGCCCCCTTCTCCTGATGTCTGGGAGTGGGGACCCATATCTGTTGGTTCCTAAAAGAGGGGGTGCAGGTGCCTGTTCAGAAGTGTGTTCCCGAATGATCCAGAGTGGGGAGCGGGAGCTCCCAACCAGGTGGAAAAGGAAAGCCAGCCAGGTAGGTTCTGGCCCTGCCCCATTTTCTTGGCTGCTGTCTGCAGCTTCTGGACCATCCCCAAAGCCTCCTGAGATTCACCTGATGGTGAGGCTAGGGCTTCATGTAGGGTCCTGATTGGCTCAGCTTTGGGGGACCCCCCATCCCCTGGCCCTAGAATAGGAGCAAGCTTCCTTCTGATTGGGGGAGGTGGGGGACCAGTTGGCAGCCTTCTGCTCTTAGAACTCTCGTCGCCATGGAAACGGATCGGACTGCTCTGTGAGTGTGGAAAGGGCAGCGTCTCTGAGGGGATCAGAAGAGCCTCGTTACTGGGACCTCCTGTCAGCCCACCCGAAAGGGACAGGGTGTCTGTAGGTGACAGGCCTACCTTGCACCCTAGTGACAGGGGTGGCTGGCTGACACCAACTCCCTCTTAGGCTTCCTGTACAAGCCTGAGGGTCCCCAAAGGCTGATTCTCACAACTAGAGAGGCAGCCTGAGAGCAGGGGAGGGTGGGGAGGGAGGAGCTCAGCTAAGCCTGGGAGTTGCTGTCACCCTCACCACAGCCTGTCCTAGGCCACAGCGGAAAACCGCCACTCCAGCATTTACGGATCTTAGTTTTAAAGCACCTTTTTCATTTTGTCTGTCACCGTCACCCACAATCATGCCAGGCCGTCCCTGACACCGTTGCCTAACCACAAACACGCTCGCTGCCATGGTCACACCACTGTCACTGAGTCACCCCAACCCTGCAATTCCAGTGCAGCCACAGGATCCCCTGTCCAGCCTGACACTATAGCAGACATCTCCCGCTGTGTGATACTCCGTTCACCTCTATTCTCCTTCCAGGGATGGAAGCCAGGCCTGGCATATGAGGACAGATGCTCCCCACTGAGCCACACCCTGGCTCTCCTTTCATCAGTAATGTTCATGTGGTCAGTGCCCGGTGACGCCTCCTCTGTCACTACCTATTTTGGGTGGAAAGTCTTTAGGAAGAAAACTCCTCTAGTCTGTGGCTTGGTTGAGTCCCTGAGGAGGCTCTTACCTGGCCACCAGTCATTGTGAGCCTCTAGGAAAGACCTTGGCTCCCTGACACTGCCTAGATTCACAAGTACCAGCACTTGAGACCCTTTTCTTAAACAGAAATTAGGAACATTGCATTCTAGTCCCTGTGTGGAATGGCCTGGCCCATTAAATAAGCTGTCCGGTCCTGCAAGTAAAGATATACATTTTAAATTGTGTAACCCAGCTTTTGACTAGAGAGTCCTTCCACAGAATGCCTATGAGCATCTCAAAGGATATGTTTCTGGAAACAATGATCTCCCCAATCTCCACACTGTCTAGATGGGGAAACTGAGGCTCAGAAGACTATGGTCACACAGTGTATTAACATAGAGCATAGGCCAGAATCAGTGTCCTGGTTCCCAGGATTTCCCAGGATAGAAAGCTGAGGGCATGTGCTTTTCTCCTGTGGTACACACCGTAGCTGGATATTTACCAATTGGTCTGCTTTGTATTTCCATTCTCCTGGGCACTAGGGAGTTTCAAAAGCAAAGAGGCAATGTGGGCTGCCATCTTCTGACCCCCTCCCACGTTCCTTCCTGGGAGTTACTCCCTCAATTTCAGGTGGTCCTCCCGGTACCTCGGAGCTTCCTTCAGGTACTAAAGCCAGAATAACTCACAAGCAGGCCAGCTTACATTCTTTGGGGCCAAGATGCCCAGACCAGAATAACTCACAAGCAGGCCAGCTTGCGTTCTTTGGAGCCACGTTCCCAAGCGTCTGGAGCTGACCTCCGCCTCTTAGCCCCAGCCACAGGGAGAGTACCTAGGGGGCCGCGCCAACCACAGTGGATCATGGAAGAAGACAGTCAGGACACTTGACCTCATTCTTTTCTGCGTTTTCCTCTCCATTAATGACAGTTGGACTCTGACTCTCTGAGACGGAGCATAAGAGGTTTCTTTCTGAGTGCAGGCAAAACCCACAATCCCTGCTAGGCTCTCTGAGCCACAAGACAGAATGCCTTCTTCAGGGAACCCACATTCAGTCAAGTCCTTTGCCTCCCGTCCCAAGGGTACCCTGGTTTCTTCTCTGTCCCCCTGGAGCCTCCTTTCAAACACATTACAGTCTGCCCACCTGTCCTTGGGTGTCCCAGTATCCGGATGGAGATAACCTCCATGTGGGTAAAGACCGGGCCCTTAGCCTCATGAGTGCTGGGTGCCAGATGTGGCTCTCTTAACAGCCAATCAGGCAAAAGCCTCAGGTAGGTCATGACCCCTCCTGGAGCCTCGGCTTTCCTCATGCTCCGAATGCAGTGTGGATGAGTAGTTGGCTCAGGTGATGTGAGCAGAATGTTTAGTGCTGTGACCACTGACACACGGTGACTGTCACAAAGACCATCGCGGGCCATGATATTAAAATTGGATCATCCTTGACCTGTTTCTGCTGGCCAGGATGAAGCCAGACAGTTTCCTAAGGCCTGAGCTACCCTGCTGGTCCCTGAAGATCTCCAAACTAGACCCTCTTGCATCCAGGTGAAACCACTTGATTATCTGAACTGATAGAGCATCTCCCACGCAGCCCTGTCCAATTCCACAGTCTGGGCTTGGGTTCCCAGCTCCACTCTGACCTCATCCTCCTCCCTCTTTGTTTTGCTTCCTTTTCCCGGCAGCCTGTCACCCCAGACCTGCTGATGACTCCCAGCGATCAAGGTGATGTGGACTTGGATGTGGACTTTGCAGCAGACAGGGGCAACTGGACGGGCAAACTGGACTTCTTGCTGTCTTGTATCGGCTACTGCGTGGGCTTGGGAAATGTCTGGCGGTTTCCCTACCGAGCCTACACCAATGGAGGCGGTATGAGCCTGGGGACCTCTTGGGAGTAGCTGGGGTGACAGACCAAGACTTGGTGTGTTGGGGGAGCTATAGGGTGACCTTTGAAGTAAACTTAGAAGGAAGGAGCTTACTCTGCCTGTCCCTTTCATCACCAAGCCCCTCCTCCTGCCTTGCCATCCCCAGGATGATACCCAGGTTTCCTCCGTGAGGCCTTATGCTTCCCAGGCTCTTTGGTGGGCAGGAGGAGCTGCCCACTAGCTCACAGCGTAAAGTGTAGTACCCGCAGTCACTACTCACATGCTTTGCATTGGCTCCTGTCCTCTCCCATGCCTCCTCCAAGGCCCTGCCCCACCCACCATTCCCACTCTAGAATCTTCAGTGTCTCCTCTCCTGGTTCTTTCCATTCAGATTGCAGACACAAGACCTATGCTATTTTACAAGTAATTCCCTTTGTCCTTGATTCTCCATCAGGTTAACATTCTAAGCCTCATCAACAATGGCTAGGGCTAGGTCCTGGGCTTGGTGCCTGCCTCATGCCCTGATAACAACCCTTCTAGGTAGACACCTTGGAAATACTGAGGTGTTTGGGGTCTAGAGAGGCCAAGTTATTTGTTCAAGGTCACATGATGCAGATTCAACCTTCCAACCGTCTTTTCCAGGGCTATGTGCTCTTACTATAGCTCCAAATCCCGCTCCTAAACTTGTTAAGAAGTGTGTGTTGGCAAAGAGAAACCCAGGTAACACTAGAGCAAGCAAAATCGTGAGCCCACCACCAGCCTCCAAGACTCCCTCCCCCACTCCCTGCTCCCCTATCCTTTCTGTGTGTTGTTCTCACTTTTTCCTCAGACAAGCATCCCTCATCCATGAAGTTGGGGTGGGGAGCCCAGACATAGACACTTCTGGGATGACTCTGCTCTGGAGGGTTTAGCCATCTAGAACCTCTCAAATCACTACCAGGTAGTGGTGGTGCATGCCTTTAATCCCAGCACTCAGGAGCTAGAGGCAGGTGGATCTCTGTGAGTTCGAGGCCAGGCTGGTCTACAGAACGAGTTCCAGGACAGGCCCCAAAGCTACAGGGACACCCTGTCTCAAAAACAACAACAACAACAAAAAAATCACCTGAATGAATCCATATACAGAACTGCAAGGAAAGTGATGGGCGTGACTTGGGATATTTACCCACATCTCTTCAGGAGGGAGGGCAGAGGGCTAGCTGTATGACTCCAGCCCTTCCAGAGCCAGCTGGTAGTAGGCAGCTGTCTGAAGGAGGTGGCTGTCTATGTGCGAAGAGAAGGGGAAGGATGCCAGGCCCAGGAAACTGCAGGGCCCATGAAATCTCAGGTGTCAGCCAGCGCGGCTGAGGCAGCTTTCATGAGGAAGGGACCACTGGAGCCGATTCTGGAGGTGCAGAGCTGGCATTCTTGGCAAGATAACTCATTCATCCACTCTTCACGTATTCACTCACTCAGCAGGTGCTTCTGCAGCGTCTGCTCTGTGCCCAGCCACTCCTGGGCTCTCTAGCTACAGGAATGTGTAAATACCCACTAGCTTCCCTGGCCTCAGTGACTCTTGGGAGATGTGCTCCATCCACCACAGGTGGATGGTAGGTAGCTGCTGTCAAGGGACAGTGGTGGGGCCTTTGGGGGGAGTTCACCTGATTCCCACCCCCATCTGCTACCTCTCTGCAGGGGCCTTCCTTGTTCCCTACTTCCTCATGCTGGCCATCTGCGGCATCCCCCTCTTCTTTCTTGAGCTCTCCCTGGGCCAGTTCTCCAGCCTGGGACCCCTGGCTGTCTGGAAAATCAGCCCCCTCTTCAAAGGTAAGGCCGCAGTGATTCCTGGCTTTGTTGAGCGAGCAGGAGCCCTGGGGGAGAAGTTGCCTTCCTCTCAGGCTCTAGCCGAGAGGTGACACTGTCCCTCCCCTGCCCCAGGTGCCGGTGCGGCCATGCTGCTCATCGTAGGCCTGGTGGCCATCTACTACAACATGATCATCGCCTACGTCCTCTTCTACCTCTTCGCCTCCCTCACCAGCAACCTGCCCTGGGAGCACTGTGGCAACTGGTGGAATACAGAACGCTGCCTGGAGCACAGAGGCCCCAGGGATGGCAACGGGGTGCTGCCCCTTAACCTCAGCAGTACCGTCAGCCCCAGCGAGGAGTACTGGAGGTCGGTGGAACTGGGGTAGCCCCTGAGGGTGGGCGGGGTGGGGGCTGTGCCAGCCTGTGGAGGCTCCTTACCTGGCCAGCTACTTTTAGAAGAGGACAGCTGTCGTGCCTAATTCAGAAGGTGACTGTGCAGATTGGGGGAAAGCATGCATGAATACTGTGGTCTAGCTCCAGGGTGAGGGGTTAGCAGGTGCCCGTTTATTAATGAGAGTGGCGTTT